TATGGATGTGAAACATGGACATTAACGCTGAAGGAAGAACATAAATTATTAGTGGCAGAACGAAAGATACCTATTCCGAAAGATTCTGGGACCAATCTAAGCATCTAAGGATAATTTGAGAACTGGAGGGTCAGATAACATAGAGATATCAAAGGCTGTCTAAGACTTGAGGGTGGTGAATTTGACGGAATGGTCGGATCTGGCACAAGACCGTAAGAAATGCTGTACTTTGGTGTCGAATAGATAACGGGAAAAGCGTTACATTTCTATCACCGTGACTGTCCTTCTAGTTATAAAAAAATCATTTTGTCACGCCTGTCACTTACATCACGATATGTAACGTTTACCTATATCCAAATGCAATAAGTAGTTATATTTGAAATTATTATTAATACAAACATCGAATACTTAGAAAAAAATCATTCGATCCGGCCGGATTCGAACCGACGTCTCCTGGCAAACCGTGATAGACGCTAAGCTAACTAAGCCGCGGAAGGAACCAGCGGATCTCATGAATTTTTGTATGTGCTTGTTGTTGGATCTTTGTATTTGGGTTTCAATTTTAGCCGTGTCGCCGTCTATGAGAAATCTATGAAAGTATTTCTTCACCCAGTTAGGTACTTTTAGTTACCAGTCCCGGCTAGAGATGTCGCTATCAACTGTGATTACAGTCAATGTCTGTAATTATAGTCAATAAAAATTTAATTATATTTGAAAACTTGATTCGCAATAACTTTCACAGTTTTACAGGCTTACCGCATTATTTGTTAATAAGATCATGCGGCGTGTTTATTATTATTTTGGGTCAATTTTGTACAATTATGTCAGGTACTTGTATTTTTATAATATTTACACTGATCTAATTATTTCTTAAGTTATTTAATTATTATATTTATATATGTTAGTCCATAAGGTATGTATTTATGGGTCAATGTAACCCCAGTGTAATTACTTTTTTAGTAGCAGTAGAGCTTCTTGTGAAAGACTTCGTCCAGGGAAGTACAGCCTTACCTATTTCTGCCGCCAAGCAGTAATGACAGCATTACTGTGTTCTAGTTTTGATGGGTGCTGGTGAAATTATAGGCACATGGGACTTGTCAACTTATGTCTGAGGGTGACGGCCGCAGTGATGGTGCGCCTAGGATCTATGCAATTTAAAGCTCTGAGTGGCACTGCAACTGTTATATACAGGCGTGTAGCTTACCATCAGGCGCACTACTTGTTCGTCCCGTCCCTTGATGTTATAAAAAAAATTAAATAAATAAAAATAGCCCAGACATTATCAGGTTATTTTCTGTTACAAATAGGATTTGCGTTTTTCACAGCAGGCGCTATAGTGTAAAAGGTTTATGGAGTAGTTTCTGAATACAGCCTCTTCGTTAGGATTACAATGCCCATTTCGTCAGTTGTTTAATGAAATTTTCACTAATCTCTTAGTCTTCTCAGCGGATTAAGTTTGAGTTTCTAAGTTTAAAATTTAAGATTCGTTCGTCTATGTACGTGCCACAGTATTCTACCGGCGCATTTATATACCTGTATGAACACATAATGATAAACGACGACCTCTATGGCCCAACGGTTTATACTGTGAGCGCTTAATAAGGCGTTTTTTAATTTATTATCAATCAATGATATAGGTACAGTCAAGAGCACGTCAAGCTTGACACTTTGTACTTTGGACCGTTCTTATCGTAAGCGGCATAAAATTGCATTTAAGTCTTAAGTATCAAGCTTGACGTGCTGTTGACCCTGTACAAAACAAATAATTATTACATTTAAAAACAACGAATTACGATTACACAAGGCGACTTAAGACTTAGACGATGTAAACGCGATGCAGTAGCGATGCAATCGCTAATCGTCTATCTTTATGCATACGCGCAATATTAGCAGCGATGCAAGCGCGCGACTGCATCGATACAAACGAGCGATTCCATCGCTACGCTTTATAGGCGATTGCATAAAAAGGAGGAGGTTCTCAATTCGTCTGTATGTTTTTTTTTGTATGCATGTTACGCGATAACTCCGGTATTTGTGAACCAATTTTCAAGATTCTTTTTTTGTTGGAAAGGGGGTACTTCCATAGTGGTCCCATTTTATTTTGAAGAAAATCATCCACCTCGAAGGGTGGCTGTTCACACATGAAGATTTATTTTTATTAATAGCGCCTAACCTTCCTTTAGGAGCAATTACCTTAATGGTTGATTTTGCTATTTCTTCAATTCAAGGCGTTTTTCTCTCAATATGCTTTTAGTAGTGAGAACCGATTTTTATAATCTCCAGTGTCAAGTCCTGTATAGTGGCGAACTAGGGAATATTTCAAAACAGACGTAATTCCACGTACTTTTGAGGTCGGTTTTTTAGTACTTTGTACTGATCATTATTTCACTATAGTTACAAAAGTTATTAATGAAATACCTTATTTTTAATTTTACAAAGAAACATTCCAATTTCCGCTACATTACGTTTTACAAATTATTTTATTGAATTAATTTTTATTAAGTTCAATTTATTATTAATTTTTAGTAGAAATAAGAATAAATTAAAACATATTAATTAGTACTGCAGTCTTATGCCTGTTTGGAATTTTTCATCAGAGGAAATACATGATATTAGATCCTATCTATGTAAGAAATATATAATATATGTATATATATATATATATATATATATATATATATACATATATGTGTGTAATATAAAATGTATTTATGTCCTTATAGGTTGCTTATATAAGTATATAGTTAGTCATATAATATTATGTGTTATGTTTATATTGTGTTTTAATTATCATGTTATGCACTCCTATCAATTATTTTGAATCCAGCTCTCCATTCGACTGGTAGAGTCCAGCTCTCCAGTCGACTGGTAGAGAATGCCTAATGGCATTAAGTCCACCATTTGTACTATTTTGTGTGCAATTAAGTTTAAATAAATAAATTTTTGCAATTGCACTACCAAAGTTCCTAAATAAGAATTTTTCTACGATTTTCAAGAAAAATGGCGGATTGAGCTCAACTTAGCGAAACTCTACAACTGTTGCCACACGTGTCGCGCAACTAAACACGTCTAGTATATTTATTGTTCTGTTAGTCGTTTCACGCGCCTTTCATTGTTATAAAACACACACACACACACACGCACACGCACACGCACACGCACACGCACACGCACACGCACAC